AATAGAACCTGAATAGAAAATAACATTCCACTAGGCACTAGCTAGGAAATTGATACTAGGAGCATTTTTTATCAATAGGGTTAAAGTGAGTGAAAGTTTATTTGAAGTGAGGTTTGAGATTTGGATGTATAAACCGGCTTTTGAATTTGAAAATGAGAATCTCGTACAAAGTTGCATTTTATAAAAATATTATCGATGCAAGAACAAAGTATATTGAGGCATGCAAGTTGCTCTATACGCGCACGGTTCTGCGTGACCTTAAAGGGTCACACTTATGTGTGTATGAAAAGCAATCTTGCTTTTCTTCTTTCAAATTCCACCTTTTTTTTGGGTTATATCGATTTTCTGTTCGGGCCTTAATAATTAAAATGCCCAAAAGCCCCATCTCCTTTATTTGGCAAAAATTTTATTTTAACTTTATTATTTACAAGTACAAAACTTTAGTGTTTAATAAAAATAAATCAATAAGTAACTCACACTCTATAATTAAAATAATAGTATAATACAACATAGTTTATAAGTATATATTTTTTGTATATATTTATGATAAGTATACGAAACATTTAGATTAAGAAAAAAATAAATGAAAAGAGGTTTTATTTTTGAAATATAATAAAAAATGTAAAAGTAAAATATCAATTAAAAATAAGTGAAAAACATGTAGGATCCACTGAAAAGTGTGTTTATGAAATTTATTGTTATTGAAAGTTTATGGATCTGTAGATTGAAGTTTGAATGATGTGACATATTAGAAAGTGTAAAACGAGGTTTATAGCTTTAAGTAGAGTTATTAACGAATCGAATATTCGCGAACAAAAGATCGTTCGAACTCGTTCGTGCAACAAGAGCTAGTCGTTTATTAATCGAGTGGAGTTCAAATAGAAAACTAAGCTCGTTTAATAATCAAGCGAATACGAGCTCATTCGCGAACGTTAGAAAATGTTCGTGACATTAATTAATTTAATACTATTTTATTTTTTATACATTTACATGATATTTTCAATAAAAAATCTAAATATAAAAATATTTTATTTTATTTTTCTATTTTTGAATTCGAACGAACAAATTTTGTGTTAATAAAATATATTTAAAACGTTTAGTTTTTAAATTATTCGAACACAAATGAACTCAAACTTTGACTAACAATTAAACAGCGAGGTCAAACACATTTTTTCGCTAAAAAAATAAACGAACAAACAATGTAAATGGACACGAGTTCAAAATGCTTAAACTTGGATAGTTCGGTTCGATTAAAGCACTGGGTTTAAGTTGATAAAGATTCTCTAATAAGAGTTAATTGCCAAACATAAATTCTCGCACGACGCGTTAAATCATTCAGTGAATCGATCTATTATATTATCTAAAATAAAAAAAGAAAAAAAATGCAAACTTGTATCATTAAATATCATGCTTTTGTTTATATTATTTTTATAAGTATAACATTTTGTAATTAAGGTATGGAAATTTGTAAAAATAAAATAATAAAAGAAAAGTATATCCTAATGGTTAGGCCGATTAAGAAAGACCATTCCTAGTTGAAATGCGTGTGGAAAGATGAAAAGTTAATGGGTGAGTCTACTCAATGTATAAACTAATTTACAAATATAAATTATTGTTTGAGTCAGCTAGACAAGGGTACAAAATTGCATACTTATGCGATGATATATCATATTCTTTTTAATATTGTTACGTGGAGTATAAAAACATTTCAATTTGAAAATATATATATATATATATATACATATTGATTTTTTTTAAATAAAATTGCATATATATTAATTTTTTTTAATCAAATTGCATACTTATGTGATAACTTATCATACTTTTTTTCTATGTTATTTTACAGAGTATGACATTTTAATTTGTATGTATATATTGAAAAAAACGACGCTCTTCCTAACAACAATTTAGTGTTTTGAACGTAGCAAGAAACTTAGAAGTGACAGATTTAGGGTGTGATTGAATATTGATCAAAATAAAAAAATCAATCATTTTTAACTCAATTATTTTTTTTACACTCAATTTTAATCTAACTCAACTATCTATATAATTAAATAATATCAATTAATCAATCATTATTGCACATCACATCAACTCTATTTCATTATTCATCACTCACATAATTTTAACTAACCATCACTACACATTATATTTCTCATACTTTTACATCAAATCAATTTTAATTATTTTATTTTAAATATTATTTTAATTATTTTTAAATATTATTTAAAATTCAACTAATAACTAGCAATACTACATTTTTAAAATTAATGATTTTTAAAAAAAAAAAAATCGAAACCAACTTAAACCCATATCCAATCACTAGTAAGAACAGAGTAATTTTTTTTTTTAAAAAAAAGTAGATTGAGTAGAGGATGGAGTGAAAATCTCAATTTGTATTTAAATAATATTAAAAATATAATTATTAAAGTTGATGTAATGTAAAAGTAACAAATAGAATATTAGAAATGATAGGTAATTAAAAATATGTGAATATTGATGTGATATATGAAGATAATTAATTAATATTATTTAATTATATTGATAAAAAATAAGAGAGTTCAGTTGAATTAAAGTAAATTGAATTTTGAGTTAAAAAGTTGTAATTACGTTATCGTTTTGATAAAATCTATATCCAATCGCACCCTTATTACGTATTAGAAAAAAGGTCTTGTAGTTATTGTTGAACTCGGCTCAGTCTCCGTATAAAGAAACCTTACATATAGTCAATTAGAGCCAAGCTCAGCATTCGTACTCCACCCTCTCAAGCGAATATTCGATAACTCGATTAATCACCATAATGACTAAATCACCAGTAATCCGATAACCCAACTCAACTCAACTCAACTCAACTCAACTCAACTTATCTCATCAGAATTGGTGACTAAACATCAGTAATGTTTGATCCAGAAAGTCAGGAGAGTTATTTCTGACTAAATTACCATAATCATCTGTTCTTTTTTTTTTCTCCACAAATGACAAGAGAATTTAACAATTTAACAAAGCTAATCTTAATAATGTGCTAACTTGCATCGATTACAATTTTCAAAGGCCAAACCGAAAAGATCCCAAGTCGAACACAAAACCACATAAAATTTCGAAGGAAAAACACAAAACTGAAACAGAATTACTTTTTCCTTTTCCCTCCTTTCCCACGCAAGGCCTTGTTGGTGTCGTTTTTTATCTGCATGTTTTCAGGCAAAGGCAAAATGTGGTCCACACACTTTCTGAAGCTGAAATCATCGGTCGACCCATCTTCCTTAGTCAAGAAAAAACAGCGGCTCTTAAACTGAGGATGAAAACGGACTTGAAAAGCTTCAATCCCTTTCCCGATTTTCCTCTCAGCATCTGTGTGGCCCTTCTGGAGGAGTTCCAGCAGCATTATGTGTTCATACTGATTCAAACAAGAAATGTAAAGATAGTGAGCTTGTAATTGTAAAAAAACAACGCCAAATTTAGGTGCTTCATGAATATTCATATATTATGGGTAAACCTAGCTGATAAACTAGCTTAGTTTAAAGTGAATTTCGAGCTAATAGCTAATAACTTATGACTTATGGCTAAAAAACTAACTTATATGATAAAATTGTTAGGTAAAAGTAGTTTATCTAGCTCAAATAAAAGTTTCAATGGGATTATTTGAAAAACTAGCAAAAGATGCTAATGAGATAAGCTCGAGCTTTTTAAAAAAGCTTATCCTACCAAATTAAGCTTATTTGAATTACAGGAAGTTTATAAACAAATCAAATAAGCTGTAAACTAGCTATTTACCAAACACAACCATAATAGGAGAGACTTATCTATAATCATATATAATGGACTTACATGTATTTTACGAGTAACTCATCACTTTTTGAGGGCTTGGAATTTACTTGATCAGGCAAATTAATCACAAAACTTAGGTCACCAGTTAAACAGATGTATGTCAAAATATAACCTCCTTTAATGCTAGATTACAATATGCACAATAAATGAATGCACGACAATTGCACTTAGCTTCATTTGTTCTAGCAAGGGAAACTATTACACCGTAGTTAGATTTCAAACAATCATACACTTACTTTAGCAAACAAGACTAAAAAAATGGCTCATTCTGCTAGATAAACGCCAAAGACAACATAGGAAAGAGTAGACCGTATATATCTATTTATAGCCCATTACAGGATAAACGTACATTCCAAAAAAGTTAAATATCAATAGTAGATGAACTGGAAAACTGAGAATCAACAAAGTTTCTCAATTGTTATTTTCAAAAAATAGAATTCAACAGAAAATCGAACTCAAAGGACCTAGTTCTCCAAGCAGACGTTCTTTTCTTCCAATGCCATACTAAGAATTTCCGTAGGAGATACTAATAGAACACAACAAAATCCAATTTTGAGAAATTTTCAAAATTACCACCTTTCACATTTCTTTGCAAAAATACCACACTTTTGTTGCACGACCAAAATGATTCAGAGTAACTAATATTAGAAGACCAAAAACAACTCATATTAGGGAAAGAAGGTTGTATATTTTTGCAAAGGGAGTGAAAAAAAGTGGATTTTTTGCAATATCCCAAACTCATTTCCATTTTCTTTAAAGTGTGACTATAAAAATTCATCTCATTCCTGTAAAATGAGATTTTATTTCACCCTTTTAATAATATATTCAATCCACAAAATATTGCATTGTCCCAGTTCTTGCAGAACCAAACTGATTTTCAAGAACATCTTTTTCATCAACAAAATCTAAATAAATAAGAGATAGCATCATATATAGAAGCTGCTTAAAAAGCATGGAAATAAATATCACAAAACCTGAAATTTTGTTTACCTTGTTAATGTTGAGATTAGTCGGCCAAGCATGAAGAAGCTTATAGAAGTAATCAAAGATCTCCACGGACGACCCGAACGTTTTCGGGCCGACTGTGGCACGACCCAATCCCTTCACATCCTTCTCCATTTTCCCATTACCGTCTCCCGAGCTCTCGACGGTCTTCGCATCCTCAATTTTCGCTTTTTTCTCTCCCTTTTCGTCCGGCTCCACTTCTTCCTCTCTGGCGCGCTTCGAGCCACCGTCTTCGAAATTCTCCTCCGCCGGCACCACCGTATCGGCGGCGGCTTCCGGTTTCGGTTCGTGTTCCGTTGGGACCTGGGGAGCCGACTCGTCCGCCATTAGTGAGGTTGTTCGAGCAGTGAACTTAAACCCTAGGCTTACTACACCTCTGTTTCTTCTTTTTTTTTTCATCTTCTCTCACAACGTTGTCGTTTATGGGCCCATTCCGTTACAACTTCAGGTTAATTTGAGTCCAAGCAAGGCCCATTTTCAATAATAGTCCCAGCCCAAATTCCACTAGTTTCGGGTCAAGTTGTGGACTTTGAGCAAAATTAGCGCCATAGACCATTTTCTCTCTCGCTCGCTACTCGCCACAGTTCCTCTGACCTCCTCAGCACGAGCAGTTGGCCGGCCCTGACAACTCACCGAGCCACCGCCGGCCGGAGGTTGCATTCACGGAGTCCCTTTTCCGGTCTCCGTTAGCCCTTCTAATAACTCTTCATGTTTCTGTGTTTTATCCTAATTTTTTAAGGACGGCAGTTTTAAGTGAATAACTGAGTAATGTTTGCAAATCACTCAAAATTGTTAAATTCTACAAGTTACAGTCTCTTGGAATAATGTCTTCCTCAATCCCTTTTGTAGTTTCATATAATGTTACTTCATGTAATCCCTAATCCCATTTGTTTGGATTGGTGTATACCATGTTTATTGGGGAAGCTTTCCTCAAGAATGAGCTGTCTATACTATATTCAAAATAGTTCAATCAAGATGTTAGTGTACCTAAATTTTTCTGTATTCTTCTGGGTTTCTTAAATTTTGCTTTCTGTTTTCTGCTCTGGTATTGTAGGGTACCGTATTGCAAAGGGCGCCTACAGTGTCGCTGTTAGGATTAGGAGGTAGAAGTCACTGGGGAAATTATGGCGGTTGACAAGAGCAAGCTTGAAGAAGAAGCATGTGTCAATCGATTCTATAAGATAGTCCTCAGCTGGGATTACCTTCGTCTGTTGAAAGAGTCCGATGTATTGAGTTTGACATTCCTCTTTCACTTCTTGTTTATATGTCTTTATTCTGTTTTGCTAATTGTAGGACAAACCTTATGCTATGATTGTTTGATCACAGTACTGTTAATCTAAACAGTTAATATATCTTTCTTCAAGTCCGCTGATCCTCTCTCTCTCTCTATGTATGTGTGTGTGTGCGTGCGTGTTCGTGTGTGTGTTTCTTTGTTTGGGGTGGTGATGGCAATGATATGTGCTTAAATGTCTTACTTTTGAGTTTTGCACTACTACCATTTTTTTTCTTTTATTTTTATTTTGTTTTTGGTTATTGTTTAGAAGAAAAACTATGATAAAAAGGCTGGGGACGAAAGTGCTGGCGGATTGAAGGAAGTGAAGAATTCATATGTAGACGTTGATGAATATCTTGCTACCTTTGAGCCATTACTTTTTGAAGAAGTTAAAGCTCAGATTGTTCAAAGAAAAGATGATGAAGAAGGTGGCAGTCTCACTCTTTCATCCTTTATGATTTTATTTTGTTGTGTATTTAGAGGTCGCCGGAAAGATTTGATTTTGGGAGTATTTTATTGCTTCACGTCAAAACGAATTTTGTGACCAGGCATGAGAAAGAATTTATTTCATTCACATTTCTGTATCTCACTGAGTTGAAGTTTTTTTAAGGCATGAGAGAGAGCTTATTCTTTCATATATCTGCATCTCTCTATATCTAGGTTCTTTTATATATTTCATCTCTGAGATACAACCAGCTTCTTGTTTTATATGCTATTTCTCCATATTTTATTATCTGAATGAACATGTAGTGATGTTTTATATGTTCCTGGACATACAGAAACTCAGTGGGAGCAAGTACTTGTGAAAGAATGCAGTGAAGTCGATGGTTTTCATTGTCCTACATTCATGTGTGATGATGACATGTCAGTATCTCAGAATGATCTTCTATTGTTGTCGACTAAGAAGGTATTTTCATTCGACTAACTTACCACATTTATTTTTTATGGTCTGTTACTTGGAAACTTTATTGGGCTTCTTGTTGCTTTTTGTGTTTGTGATTGCAGTTTGGAGAAGGCAAACAGTTACCTACAACATATGCGTTTGCCATAGTCGAGCATCGTCAGAAATTTGAAATTAGACTTCGGCTTTTTCTGAGTGGAGAAGTTAAAGCATATAATACTGATGACGTTCAAACTTGCTCTAGGCTGTTAAGTATGCTTCCAGTTGTCAGTAAAGAGCAAAACATTTTGCATGTCCTGAAGGTAATCATTTGAACATACATGCCAATTAATTTCTGATTTTTGCCTACTTTTAGTCTTTTACCTCAATGTTTTATCCCAGATTTGCAGCTTATCAACTATAGTCCGTGAATATGTTGCTATGCGCTCCATTAGCTCTCTCCCTTTCAAAGATTTGATATTGACAGCTGCTGAACTGGTCAATAATACTGAAGACCGTGCATGGAAACTTTCTAGAACTCTAGCCGAGTTTATTGAAAGCAATCATAATAAGTCACAGCTTGAAGCTATATATGTGAGTTCTTAGCAACCATTACTCTAATCTTCAGAACCCACAAAGATCTCGTTTACAAAGTTTACCAGCAGTAAACACTTTTTAGTAGTTCTGTTTTTATTTTTAACTTCTCCGTAAATTCTTAATGTATGATATTCAGCTGTCTTCTTTTACTTTACATCTCTGACAGAGCTTCCTCTGGATGTGTTTCAGGCTGGTCTTTCACGTCAATCCTTTGTTTTGATACAGGTTTGACTGTGGCTTTATGCTTTCAAATAGAACATTTGTCCCCTCTTTTTCATTTTTTTTTAAATTAACATAATACTTGAGTTGCTTTTAACTCGCGCTTTCCAACCATATCATGGAAATAATTTGAAATGCCAATTTAACATAATACTCGCTTTTAGGGGCCCCCAGGGACAGGAAAAACACAAACCATCCTTGGACTTCTTAGTGCCATTTTGCATGCTTCGCCATCTAGGGTTCACTCCAACAAGTAAGCACTTGTAAAATCTATTCTTTGTCTCGATTATAAATATTGCTGAGAGCCTGTTAAAGACCAACTGATAATATCTTATTCAATCAGAGTGTAAAAAATTTGATATGTTTACTTACTGTATGCAGGGAAAAACTGATTGGAGTTAAGCGCGGGCCAGAATTGCCTATTCATGAAAAGTATGTTTGATGCTGTTAGTTCAATTTAGTTCAATCAAAATTATGCTCTGTATATCTAGTTTTTTGGCTGTGAACTTTTTAAACAAGCATAAAATTAAAATATTATTAATTTCTTGGGTTCTGAAGCATGGTTTACTATGTACAGATATAATCACTGGGGAAAAGCATCTCCATGGTTAAGTGGTATCAATCCTCGAGATGCAATCATGCCTATAAATGGTGATGATGGATTTTATCCCACATCTGGAAATGAGTTGGTAAGTGATATTTGTTTTGTGAATGTTATATTATGATATACTTGCATTGTATCTTCTTATTCTTCTGAAAAAATCACGTAGAAACCAGAAGTGGTCAATTCCAGTCGCAAATATCGTGTCCGTGTTCTAGTATGTGCTCCATCAAATTCTGCACTCGACGAGATTGTCTTGCGTATACTAAATACGGGTGAGTTTTCTAAAAGTTATTCAATATTTGTTATTCATTCAGCAATGCTGAAGAAGACTTTTATTTTCTTCCCTAGAAAATAGAAATTTCAGATATGACAATATGTCACTTGACTTTCTACTTTTGTGTTGTTCAATAAACNAACTAAAAAATCTGACTCAACTTTAACTCAACTCTACTATCCTCAATATTATCAATATAATTAAATAATATCATTCAATCATCCTTACACATCACATCAACTTTAATTCACTATTTATTCACTCACATAATTTTAACTACCTATCATTTCCAATCATTTATCTCCTACTTTTACATCAAATCAATTTTAATCATTTTATTTTAAATATTATTTTAATAAAAATTTAAAATCCCACTAACAACTACCATACTAACTTTATTTCAAATAAACCTTAGTTAACAAAAAGACCCAGTAAAAAACTAAAAAACTAGTAAACAAGCAGGCCCTTATTTGCTTAAATAAAACATTGCTTGACTTCATAACAATGTATACAGGCAAGCAATTTCTTTGGCTACAAAATACTGATGCATTAATGCTTACATTACAGGCATTCGTGATGAAAATGGTCATTCATACAACCCTAAAATCGTGCGTATTGGTCTTAAACCACACCACTCAGTCCAGGCTGTTTCCATGGATTACTTGGTAATTATATGTTCATTGATCTTATATATGTTACTATCTATTTCTCCCTTGGTATAACTAAATTTTAGAAATCGGTGACAATTAACCATTCTAGGTAGAGCAAAAACTCTCAGGCGTAGACTCTCATACTGGTGACAAGCAGAGGCAAGGTGGTGGATCAAATGATAGAGATAGTATTCGTACATCTATACTGGATGAAGCAGTAATTGTGAGCATATATTTTTTTTTTTCAAGTGATTTGCGCAAGTATAATGCCTTTGAATTGAGAGGTGTTGCCAAAATAAATTGATAATAGCCGATTGTTGCAGGTTTTCTCCACTCTGAGCTTCAGCGGGTCGTCTCTTTTCAATAAATTAAACAGGACTTTTGATGTAGTCATAATTGATGAAGCTGCTCAAGCTGTAAGTTATTGAGGCATCTTAAATTAATGAAATTTTGAGTTCAATGTTGAACTGTGGACATTTGCTTCTAGAATATCCTGACTTTTCTGTTCAACTTCCATTTAGCATGCAG